TATATATATATATATATATATATATATATAATATATTATATATATATATATATATATATATATATATATATATATATACTCTTGGACTTTTGAAAGTATTATTACTGCGGCTAGCAGAAAACCTGTGACTCTCACCAACCTCGTGTTGACTTTCAAAATACATGTATTCTCAGGAAATCAGTGAAATTTCGGGCACACTCAGACGATGGAAAACATGGCTCGCAAGTACTTTAATTTTCTACTTTTGAACTGTTATGCCTAACTGTTAAGGCAAACTCGTATTATTATTTTATTACTATCTGTAAGAACCATGTATGAAAACATAAACATGTAATGAAATGTTGTTTTGTTTATTGTTGTACTTGTGCTGTATATTCAATTTATCTGTGATCCATGAACTTAGTCGCACAGCCCGGCATGTTCCGCCGCCTCGGCCGGGGGTGTGACAGATTGGTATCAGAGCTAAATTGGCTATAGAGAACTCGTATCCTCGAAAGAGGAATACAACTATAGCAACTAGCTTCTTATAAAAGTATTATCAATAATAAAACTACTTCCCGACTACTTACGATGGTAGTTGGGAAGTACAAAACAAAGATTAATAATACTACAAACCCCACCAACCTTAATATGTAAGAGTTGATATATATACCCTGACCCACGATGAGAACACTTAATAAAAATTCTAAACATCCCTTCAACTAAAACTACCAACTCAACCCTTTAGGTCAAACGCCTCAATTAAAGGTTAGTATCGTACATAAGCCATACCACAAATAAACCTGGAACGCGCGCCTATGTTATTTATGGTCGGGCCGGTGCACAACCAACCTTGAGCAAGGAGTTTGACAAGCTACAACGGTTGAGAGTTTTAGAAGTTGAAGAATATCCATCAGATTCGTTGCTGAAGCTTAATACCTTAGAATCCTTTTATCAACCTTAAAACTCTTATGAAAAAACTTATACAAATTTACTAACCCGCTTGAAACCCTTTTATGTAGATGGCTGGACTACCGGATAACCCTGATGACTGGTTTCGACTTGAGGATCCTGATGAGCCATTTGGAGTTCCTTTGCATCCACATCCACTACACTTAGCAGGGGATCCGTACTTTCCCCATGACGGTCTTGAGGAGGAGGATCCCGAAGAGGATCCTGAGGAGGATCCCGATGAGGAGGAGCTCGAGAATGAGGGCATATTTCAGGATGCCCAAGAGACTGATGATGATGGTCCTGCAGAGGATGAGGGAGACCTCTCCGAAGAGGAACCTACTCCCCTTACCCCACCAGACTCACCACCGAGACCCTACTACCAACCGTACCTTCTGCGCGGCAAGGGCCCTTGTATGATGAGGACCCCAGGAACTACTATATCTCCTATTTACCACTTGGACCCAGCTGCTCAGGTTTCCCGACCCACTAGTGGTCTATTAGGGAAACGTAATCGACCCAGTGAGCCATCTTGGCTCACAGACCTCCTTAGCAGGAGGGATGCTACTGATCTACCACCACGGTTTGAGGTTGGTGAATCTTCACGAGCACCACTCAGGTTTAATCCTGAGGATGATCCGATACCTCGCTTGATGACTCAGATTGATCAGACCGAGGATAGGATTAGATCCTTGGAGCAGTTTGTGAGAGGTCCAGGCTCTACTTCCCTCGACCATCGAGTTGAGACACTCGAGGAAGAGGAGAAGGAGAATTCTGATGCGATCCAGATATTATATCATCTCTCGGGTGCTGATCACGATGCAGTGAATGCCTTGAGTGCTCAGGTAAGAGCACAGAACTACCGGATTCAGATCATGGAGAGCGAGCTTGCTGCACAGCGAAATCAGTTGGTTATCTCTGCGCAGGAACGACGCTACATCTTGGACCAGTTCGAGGACTTTGTCCTCTATGTGATGACTCGATTTGGGAGGTAGATATCTAGGACAGCTTGTGTCCTAGGATAAGGTTAGGACTTTTGAGGAATAGCTTTTGTATTGCAAGTGTTTATCACTGCCTGGTTTGTAATAGCTCTTTTGAAAAGCTTTTCTATTTCTAACCTTATATGGTTAAAACTTTGTAACCAAAACAAGCAGTTCTGATGACAATGTTTCAGTGTTTTGTTAAATGTTTGTATTTATTATGTGTTGCTTGCAAAACTCTATATATCAGGAAAAGCTTTCATTTTCTGGTTTCGCAAGAAAAACAAATTGAACAAATACAAAATACACACACATTATAACTATATGGTTTAAAAAAAATTAACTTACTTATCTAACGTATTAGGATAATGCCTCGACAAAAGAACCACGTGTTCGTCCACCACCGACTCCCCGAACTAACAGGAGAAGTGCTCCAGAGATAACTCAAACAACAGAAGAAACTCCAGACCCTGAAGAAGCCCCAAGTGCTACAAATAACCACCAAAATTTCCAGATGGATCCCACTATGATGCAAAACATGCTTGCACAAGGGATTGCTACGGCCTTGGCGACTTATGAGGCTGCTCGAAACGGGAATACTGGAAATAGCGGAAGTGGTACTCCTGTAGTTGCCCAAAGAAATCCCAAACACTGCTCATACAAAGAATTCATGGGTTGTAAACCCCGATCCTTCTACGGAACTGAAGGAGCTGTTGGCCTATCCCGGTGGATAGAAAAGATTGAAGCTGTCTTCCACATCAGCTCTTGCCCGGATGACTGCAGGGTTAAGTACGCTACCTGCACACTGATGGATGTTGCCTTAACTTGGTGGAACAACCATGCCAAGACCGTGGGAATTGCGGAAGCCTATGCTATGGGATGGGAACAGCTAAAACTAATGATGACTAAAGTGTATTGCCCACGGCAGGAGATTCAGGCATTAGAACAAGAACTCTGGAACCTAACCATGCAAGGATCAGAGGTAGCTGCTTATACCTCCCGATTCGAAGACCTTGCAACTCTTTGTCCCGGAATGGTACCTTCAGAAGACAAGAAGACGGAGAGATACATTTGGGGATTAGCATCGCCAGTCCAAGGTCTGGTTACTGCATCCAGACCCTCAACTTTTGATAGTGCCAAGCAACTGGCCTATAAGTTGACTGAACAATGTATCCGACAAGGCACCATGGCCCCCGCAAAAGAAAAGAACCAAACTGCGAATTCTAAGAGAAAGTTCCAGGGAAAGCCAAAAGGGAACTTCAAACACCGTAAGCGAAACCCAGAGCCTGTAACGGTGTATGCTGCAGTCACAACCACTGCCACTCCAGTAAAACCCTACGCTGGAACTCTACCTCGCTGCCCTAAGTGCAATTATCAACATGTTGGAGACTGCAGGATATGTAGCAACTGCAAATTAAGCGGTCATACCACCAAATTTTGCAAAAAGAACCCAAGCAACACAACCTCAACTACTACCGCAAGAGAAAGTCGAACCTGCTTCGAGTGCAACCAACATGGACATTTCAGGAAAGATTGTCCTAAGCTGAAGAGACAGGGTGGTCAAGGAAGGGCGTTTGTGATAGGTGCGGGAGACGCACGCCAGGAACCAACTGTGGTTACTGGTACGTTTCCTATCAACAATATTTATGCCTCTGTATTATTTGACACTGGTGCTGATAAGTGTTTTATTTCCCACAAATTTAGAAAAATGATTAATCATGAATCATGCAAACTCAATAATGCTTACACGGTAGAAATAGCCAATGGTCAAATAGAAAGCACCTTAGAAATACTCACCAACTGCCTTCTCACCCTGAATAATCACGTGTTCCCTGTCGACTTAATGCCCATAACCATTGGAAGTTTCGATGTAATCATCGGAATGGATTGGTTATCAGCCCATCGAGCGGAGATTTTATGTTACGAAAAAGCTGTACAATTACCCTTACCAAACGATGAAGTCCTTGTGATTTATGGAGACAAGGCGGGGAAGAACCTACGAGTCATTACTTGCATGAAGGCAAGGAAGTATTTGCAGAAGAGATGCTACGCTTTCTTGGCCCACGTGGTGGATACGCAAGGCAAGGGTAAGGAAATCAAAGACATACCACAAGTGTGTGACTACCCAGACGTATTTCCAGAAGACCGACCTGGATTACCTCCTATCAGACAGGTTGAATTTCGAATCGACCTTATCCCGGGTGCAGCACCAGTGGCACGGTCTCCTTATCGCCTGGCTCCATCGGAAATGCAAGAACTATCCAGTCAACTTCAAGAACTTCTCGACAAAGGCTTTATTCGGCCAAGCTTCTCTCCATGGGGATCCCCGGTATTGTTTGTCAAAAAGAAGGATGTTTCTTTTAGGATGTGCATCGATTATCGAAAGTTGAATAAGCTCACTATCAAAAACCGGTATCCACTCCCGAGGATCGATGACCTGTTCGACCAATTACAAGGATCCTGCTACTACTCAAAGATCGACCTACGATCCGGCTATCATCAACTTAGAGTTCAAGAAGCAGATATTCCAAAGACGGCATTCCGAACTAGATACGGTCACTATGAGTTTCTAGTGATGCCATTTGGACTGACCAACGCACCTGACGTGTTCATGGACCTTATGAATCGGGTGTGTAAACCCTACTTGGACAAATTTGTGATTGTCTTCATCGATGACATATTAATATACTCACGAACCAAGGAAGAACATGGCCAGCACTTGCGTTTAATCCTAGAACTACTAAGAAAAGAAAAACTTTATGCAAAGTTTTCTAAGTGTGAGTTCTGGATTAACGAAGTTCATTTCCTCGGTCATGTGGTCAGCAGTAAAGGGATTCATGTCGATCCGGCGAAGATTGAAGCAGTCAAGAATTGGAAAGCACCAACAACACCAACCGAAGTACGTCAGTTCTTAGGGCTTGCAGGCTATTATCGGAGATTTATTGAGAACTTCTCCAAAATAGCCAAGCCTCTCACCGCACTAACCCAGAAAGACAAAAAGTTCAACTGGGGAGACAGTCAAGAGTCTGCCTTCCGAAAATTGAAGCAATTGTTATGCAGTGCACCAATTTTGTCTCTTCCCGAGGGAACAGAAGACTTTGTAGTATACTGTGATGCCTCACGTCAAGGGTTAGGGTGTGTACTAATGCAGAGGAATAAGGTTATTGCGTATGCATCCCGACAACTGAAGACAAATGAGACAAACTACACTACCCATGACTTAGAGTTGGGAGCCGTAATATTTGCTCTGAAGATTTGGAGACACTATCTATACGGGACAAAGTGCATTGTATTCACAGACCACAAGAGCCTCCAACACATTTTTGATCAAAAAGAGCTCAATATGAGACAACGGAGATGGGTCGAATTACTAAATGATTATGAATGCGAAATTCGTTATCATCCCGGTAAAGCAAACGTTGTGGCAGATGCCTTAAGCAGGAAGGAACGAGCAAAACCTCTTCGTGTAAAGGCTCTAACCCTAACCATCCACTCGAACCTTACTATTCAAATTCGTGATGCTCAGCTAGAAGCACTTAAACCTGAAAACATCATGGAAGAAAACCTACGAGGCATGGACAAACAGTTCGACCTCAAAGATGATGGAACGCGATACTTCATGAACCGAATTTGGACTCCAAGATTTGGAGAAGTCAGAGATTTGGTTTTAAATGAAGCTCACAAGTCAAGATACTCAATACATCCCGGATCAGACAAGATGTATCTCGATCTCAAGAAGCATTATTGGTGGCCCAATATGAAGGCAGAAATTGCCACTTATGTTGGTAAGTGTTTGACCTGCTCCAAGGTCAAGGCGGAGTACCAGAAGCCGTCTGGCCTGCTACAACAACCATCAATTCCAGAATGGAAGTGGGAACAAATAACAATGAACTTTATAACAAAGTTGCCCAAGACATCAAGCGGTTACGATACCATATGGGTAGTGGTTGACCGTTTGACCAAGTCCGCTCACTTCTTAGCCATCAAGGAAACTGATAAGATGGAAAAACTCACCAGAACTTATCTCAAGGAGATAGTCAAACTACACGGTGTGCCAATATCTATCATCTCGGACCGAGATAGTAGATTCACTTCCAGATTTTGGCAATCACTGCAAAGATCCCTAGGCACAAAACTCGACATGAGTACAGCATATCATCCCCAAACGGATGGCCAGAGCGAAAGGACAATACAAACTCTGGAAGATATGCTCCGCGCTTGTGTGATAGACTTTGGTAACGCATGGGATACTCACTTGCCATTAGTTGAGTTCTCTTACAACAACAGCTATCACAGTAGTATAAAGGCCGCTCCATTCGAGGCCTTGTATGGGCGCAAATGTCGTTCACCATTATGTTGGGCAGAGGTTGGAGATACCCAACTAGCAGGAAAACATATTAGAGATACACTATTCACTGGACCTGAAATCATTCAGGAGACAACAGAAAAGATTGTTCAGATAAAAGAACGGCTAAAAGTCGCACGTAGTCGGCAGAAAAGTTATGCTGACAACAGACGCAAACCATTGGAATTAAAAGTAGGAGACCGAGTCCTACTAAAAGTTGCCCCATGGAAGGGTGTCATTAGATTCGGAAAAAGAGGAAAGCTAAACCCACGTTACATCGGACCCTTTGAGATCCTAGCAAGAGTTGGTCTGGTAGCTTATAAGCTCAACCTACCTCAAGAGCTTAACAAGGTTCACGATACCTTCCACGTGTGTAATCTCAAAAAGTGCCTAGCCGATGAAAATTTGGTGGTACCACTCGATGAAATCCAGGTCAACACAAAGCTTCACTTCGTGGAGGAACCAGTGGAGATTATGAATCGGGAAATTAAAAGACTTAAACAAAACCGCATACCTATAGTAAAAATCCGATGGAACTCTCGTAGAGGGCCAGAGTTTACTTGGGAACGCGAGGACCAAATGAAACAAAAGTACCCACAATTATTCAATGATGCCCCCTCCACCAGTGAAAGAACTAACTACTAGTGTAAAGTAGCCAAGAATGTAATAA